ATTTCCTGCTTCCAAAGGAATATCTATAAGCATCTTTTATGAATGTGAATCTAGGTCATGGGTAAAGGGTAATGGGGGTAATCCTCCTGGGTCCCCAAAGGAGGTGAAAAGAATGCTGGAATAGGTAAATGATCAGGATAACATTCCTACTTTTCCTTCCTAAAGAATGCTGTAGGGAATCCACATGGAAGCAGGAAATATTTTTCTCCACCAGTACATTTCTGTAAATATTACTTCTTGACTGAACTCTGTAGATTGAACCATACTCTACCCAGTTCTGGGATTTCCAGAAATTCAGAAAGCATGTTATCTCATCTATTACCTAAAACACAACCTAGTTTCAAAAGTGGTCATCTTTTCAAACTTAGGCAAGAATAGACACCATCTAGGGAGCTTTGTAAAGAAATAAAAAACAGGGCTCCATCCCCAGAAATTCTAATTCAGCAGATTTGGAGTTTGGCCCAGGAATCTGAATTTTAACAGGGCAACCCTAATGATTCTAATATAGATGCTACCTGAGGCATAGTTTGAGAAGTACTATTTGAAGGTCTCTTAAAGTGAGGTGATTATTTACCTGAAGGTTTTTGAGCCCTTCAATTCCACCGAAGAGTAGAGAGAAGAGAAAACTGGAGTAAAGAGAAAAAATTTGTTGCAGATTCTCAGAAAGTTCTATCCTGTGGTAATCACTGGGGCAAAAGATGATATGGCTGTGATGTATAGTTTTATAGTGTAAAAGTGAATCACAAAAATTGAAGCAAGCAAGATGCCTTTTCATAGGTGAATGGATAAACAAATTATATGCACATTCATGTAATGGAAACGTATTCAGCAATAAGGAAAATGAGCTACTAAGCCAAGAAGTCATGAAAGAACTTTAAATGAATATTGCTAAGTGAGAGAAGTCAGTGAGATACAGCTACCCACTGTATGACTTCAACTATATGACATTTTGGAAAAGGCGAAACTACAAAGACAGTAAAAAGATCAGTAATTTCCAGGGGGAGTGGGTTGTATGAACAGGTGAGTCACAGGGAATCTTTAGTGTAGTGAAATTATTCTAAATGATACTGTAATGGTGGATACATGACATTATGCATTTGGAACAACCCACAGAACTGTAAAATTCTAATGTAAACTATGGACTTTAGCTAATAATAGCATATCAAAATATTGGATCATCAATGATAACAAATGTACTATACCAACTGAAGATGTTAAAATCGGGGAAACTGTGGCAGGGTTGATGAGAAGCAGAGGAAGGAGTATATAGACACTGCACTTCCTGCTCATTTTTTCTATAAGTCTAAAACTGCCTTATTATTATTTTTTAAAGTATGGAAATTATGGAAAAAATATAAAACAATAATAAGACCAAAAAACAGTAATTCCTTAGTAAGAACATTTGAGTTTTTCAAGGAATACTTATATAAGGAAAAGTCTTCTCTAAGGAATACATAACTAATAGTAAGTTTTTTTTTTTCATTCAAAATGTCAGGGAAGATTTAGTAAATACCTATTTCTTCAACTATTCTTTTTTGACCAACCTTCATTTTCTATTGAATTACCTACATCTAATGTTAATGCCTCCATTTTTTTGAACTGATTTATCAGACCACTTCAGCACATAGATAGGTATATTCTCATACTCCAATTTTCACATTTA